TCTTGCCTTTTATTTCTTTGTATCTTAGACAAGGCATTATGCAACCATGGGATGAGTGAGGTCCTAGAAGCCAAGAACATCTGAGCTCCCACTCTATCTGCAATGTCTCACCTCAGTGAAGTTCATTCATTAACTGCCCTGAAATATAATATTTCCCAGGGAGTTATTAAGCATTAGCTTCCTGGCCAACTGGTATAAAATGGAATGGCTATGTAAAGCATCTGGTAGAAGACCTGGTGTGTAGCTGGAGCTTTCAAAAAGGCTGTTACTTTCACTTTCACTTTCTATGAGACTTGATTCTTTCATTTATAGAATGGAAATGTTATATTTCTATTACACATTGATGAGAAGACAAAAATAGGAAATTATGTGAAAACAAAGCTTTGCTTGCCAGATGTGACTTATTACCCTTTTGGATATATTTCATGATATCAGTCAATCAAGCCAGATGTATCACATACTTATTTTATTGGGTGCCTACTATGTACAAATCCCTCTTCTTAGGTGAGCTTGTGGATTCAAAATTAAAATCACAGCATTCCTGAACTCCAGGACCTCACAGTCTAATGAGTAACAAAAGTACGCGTACAATTCTTATAGAAGGTAACCTATGCTCTGGGCTGCCTATTCAGTAGTGAAAAACTAAAAGCTTACAAGAGTTGTTTTGGAGAAGGAAGAAATTAATTCTGACTGAGAGACTGGAACATTTCCCCATTTAATGCTGGTTGAATTTAGAAGAGAAAATAAAATTAAGGAAAACCCTATCGCTGCTTATTTAATCTGCTTGGGAGGGCTTTAATTACTCAGAAGACAGAAGAAGCATAGTACAGTAGAATCTTGATTAACTGGAACACTCTGAATCGGAATAATGGGATTCTCTTGTTAATTTTCTCTTTAAGACTAAAAAGTCTGTATTTTGTTGTTTCTAATCCTATCCCTTAATATTGCCTCTCCGAATAGTTCTTATTGAATTAATCTAGGTTCAACAATGGTAAGTACTAGAGTGCATATGAATGATTCACAATATATAATTCCTGACTTCAAGAGTTTATTATCTCATAGATTAAAAGAGATATTAACTTATGAAAATATAACAACAGCATCAGGAAGTATATAACCACTGGAAATAAATGAGTCCTATACGATTAGGAAATGAAAAATATTTTGGATTAGAATAGATTAACAAGATTGAGTCAGAATACATTGATTTGGATCAAAAGATGATATAAGAAAGCAAGTATTTTGGAACTACTAAAAAGCTGCCAGTATACAGAATGGTTTGAATTTGAAGAGACTTAAAAAGGCGAATCTGGCAGCTTTTATAGTATCTGATAATGTCACTTAATATGTCTCATATGATTGAATTCTGGAGTTCTCATTTTGAAGCCCATCAACATTGGTTAACGTTTCCTGAGTGAGTACAACATACAAAGCAAACACAATTGCAGTCAGCCCTGGTGACTAAAAATGGGGGATTAGAAATCTAAGGATTAGAGTTAGATAGTAACATTGGCAATTGTCTTTGGGGACTTGGACAACTTACTTAAGCTTCTAAACCAAGGTTGCCTGAGCTATAAAGTGATAACAGTAATAGTGTCTCAGTTTTTCTTGCATCTGTTTATTTGGCCCAGTGCCAGAACACGTTAAACATTCAGTAGCTGTCAACCATCATTATCATTATCAGAGAGTCTCAGAGTTTGGACGGAAGTTGTAGAATGTACAGCGACCACCTGAAACGCCTAGACAGTCTTATTTAACATGAACTGGGGGTATACACTTCTTTTGTTTTCTACTTGCTTTTAGTTTTGAGTAAATTAGAGGTGTTTTTTTTTTTAGGATTTTATGATGGTGCAGTGAATGCTGAAGTTGCTGTGCCACCCATATACCCTTGGCATGTCTGTGTAGTGACTTCACACAGTGTCCGTGTAAACCTACTGCTTCCTGAGTCTCTCTGCCTGAGGCCAATCTCAGGCCACAGGTCTGAGCTGGGCTTGCCTGGGCATGCCAGAAGCACAAGCCAAGGAGCAACCCTAGAAGTAATCCTCAAGTTATGTATGGGAAAAGGAAATTTGTAAGAACTTCAGCTTTCTTTCCTTTTATGAGGTGACTTGGTTGTGTCCTGGAAATTCTGTTAGATGATAGCCAGTGGAAATGGATTCTAGTTTCCCCAGAGAGTAATCTGCTTGTAAAAGGAGCTTTTTCTCCTTTCCATGTCTAACTTCTTTACTCCAACTTTTAGTTTCCTATGCCAGTTATTAATTCATTGTCCTCTCTCAACTCCAAATCTACCCTTTATTTCCTTCTCTGTGATAATGAAGCTGGACCCTATAAAATTTCTCTCTCACTAGCTGGCACAATGTTAAGCTTTTTCAGTAGAGGGTGCTGGAGAGAGAGAGAGAGAGAGAGAGAGAGAGAGAGAGAGAGAGAGAGAGAGAGAGAGAGAGAGAGAGAGAGAGAAAGAAAGAAAAGAGAAAAGGGAGAATGATACTCTGAGGAGGCCATGATTTTCCTCCTCCTGATTTCAATGTGTCCCTCTAGGCAAGCTACAGCAGCACATGAAGCTTGCACACAACTGGCAGCCACCTCTCCATAAGCAGTTTATCCTGGCACACTCTTCAGGTGGTTTTGAGGCATGGGGCCTCCAGCACAGCACCTTCCATGAATGATTTCCATGGCAGCCCCTATGGCAACTTCACAGTAAAGTGACATTGGCACTCCTCCATGGAGATGATCTCCCTTGGTTCTCCTTGGGGACCTTCACAGCCTCAGTGAACACAGTGAGCCAGAACTCCATCCTCTTCAGTAAATTGTGCACCTTAGCCCTGGTGAGAGGGGTGTGTGTGTGTGTCTGTGTGTGTGTGTGTGTGTGTGTGATGCAGAAGCAGTGGCCCTCTACGAGTACCTTCTATTGGCACTCTGTCTCAGCCTTAGAGATAGTTCCTCCTTCTTATATCTTATATTCCTATACTATTTGTCTAAAGATAGTTATGAACATTAACTTTAAGTTATGAAAACATAGCAATGATGTAAGGAATTATCTACTAGCTGAAAATCAATGAGTGCTATAGGAATTAGGAGATAAAAGAAGTAGCAGAGTAGCAGGATTGAGTCTGAACACATTGATTTGGACTAGAAAGACAATATAAAGAAGAGGGTAAAGAGCAAGTATCTCTTTACTCCTTACAGCTAATCTCTTACTCCAGTCTCATAGTTAGTATTTCTTAATAGGAATTCTTTGGTATGGTTTGGATCTGTGTGTCTGCCCAAATCTCAAGCTGGATTGTAATCACCAAGGTTGGAGGTAGGGCCTGGTGGGAGGCAATTAGATCATGGGGGCGGTTTCCCATGAATGGTCTAGAACCATCCCTTTGGTGCTGTTCTTGTGATAGAGTTCTTGTGAGATCTAGTTATTTAAAGGTTTGTAGCACTTTCCCCTGACTCTGGCCATTTGAAGTGTCACACTCTCCCTTTGCCTTCTGCTGTGATTGGAAGCTTCCCAAGGCTTCCCCAGAAGGAGAAGTTATACAGTCTACCAAGCTTCTTCTCTTCTCTTTCTCTTTCTTTCTCTTTCTTTTCCTTCCTTCTTTCCTCCCTCCCTCCCTCCCTCCCTCCCTCCCTCCCTCCCTCCCTCCCTTCCTTCCTTCCTTCCTTCCCTTCTTTCTTTATTTCTCTCTCTCTGTTTCTTTCTTCTTTTCTTTATTTTCTTTTCCTCCATCTCCCTGGGCCCAGATGATAGACTGGACAGGGAAAATGTGGCACATATACACCATGGAATACTATGCAGCCATAAAAAAGATGAGTTCATGTCCTTTGTAGAGACATGGATGAATTCGGAAACCATCATTCTCAGCAAACTGACATGAGAGCAGAAAATCAAACACCGCCTGTTCTCACTCATAGGTGGGTGTTGAACAATGAGAACACATGGACACGTGGACGGGAGCATCACACACTGGGGTCTGTTGGGGGGTACTAAAGGAGGGAGAGAGAGGGGTAGGGAGTTAGGGACAGATAACATGGGGAGAAATGCCAGATATACGTGATGAGGATGGAGGCAGCAAACCACACTGCCATGTATGTACCTACGCAACAATTCTGCATGTTCTGCACATGTACCTCAGAACCTAGAGTGCAATAAAATATATATAAAGAAAAAGTAAAAAATAAAAAGCCCTCCAGATGATTCTGATGCATTATAAAGCTTAACAGTCAATGCTCCATAACTTAAAAAGTATGAAAATAAATATAAAAATTATGCAACAGATTGACTTTTTATAACTGGCATAAAAGCCTTGCAGAAAAAGAATGACAGCTTAGGTCAAATAACTATCCACGCAGGGCTATAAATGCAGAAAACTTTCATGGCAGTCGTTGAGATTCGCTGCTGCAGCTGAAGTATATCATGTGCTAAAAATTAGGCCCACCATTTGTTTTTAAGAAGGGTGTAATTACTAACAAATCTAAATTCACAGCTCCAGAAAATGTATGCCAAAGTCAGGGCCATAATAGAAAAGTGAGACTTTGGGACCTCAGCTGAGACATTTATTATGTAGATATATTATAGCACTTTCAACTCCTACGTTATGGATTGAACGTTTGTGTCCCCACCAAATTCATATGTGAAGCCCAAATCCTCGAGGTAATGGCATGTGGAGGTGGGGCCTTTGGGAGGTAATTAGGTCATGAGGTAGAGCCCTTATGAATGTGGTTAGTCTCCTTAGAAGAAGAGACAGGAGAGCTTTCTTTACCTTTCTGCTCTCTGCCATGCAATGAGAAAATGAGAAGATCCTGCAAACCAGGCAGAGTGACCTCAGTAGACACTAGGCTTTCTAGAGCCCTAATTTTGGACTTATTCACCTTCCAGAGCTGTGATAATGTTTGTTGTTTAAGCCACCCAGTCTATGATATTTTTGTTCTAGAAGTTCAAGCTGACTGCCTACCTCTCTCAGGATTGCCAGAGGGGAGCACTGACCTCCTTGCTTGGAAACCACTCTGAAGTCTCTCTCTTTTTTTTTTTTTTTTTTTTAACAGTAAAATCCCTCAAATACTTTATTATACAGGTGAATTTTGATCATCAGGATGTGCTTATCGGTAGGATTTCTGGTATCGAGCACGGGCACCAGGGCCTCCAAACTTTTTGGATTCACAGCGCTGGGGATCAGCTACCAGCAGGGTCCGGTCATACTGGATGAGGATGTCTTTGATCTCCTTCTTGGAAGCCTCATCCACATATTTCTGGTAATAGGCCACCAGGGCTTTGGAGATGGACTGACGGATAGCATAAATCTGGGCCACGTGACCGCCACCCTTCACACGGACCCGGGTGAGAGTTCAACATCTGACAAAAGATATCCTCTTCAAGCTCTATATACTTGCCACCCCCTAGTAATTCTGGATCCCGAGGATCAAGTCTTAACCTGGCCTAACTGGTATGGATTATTCTCCAGAAAAAACCAGAAGCATTAATAGTGTTTAATGGCACTTAGTAAGTTAACATTTATGTTATTTTATGAAGGTGATCCTAGAGTGTTGCACAGAGAAGCAACTGAAATATAAGGCAAGACAGAGAAGATTTATTAAAAATAGGGTGATTTTTAATAAATTATGTGATTTAGGACTTAATATCCTCACAGGGACATGGAGTGGCTCTTTGAAGCTTTAGAGGCACAGATAGCCTATAACAAGTGAGGTGAAATGCCAGAATTACATTGACAGACTGTTGAGGAAGAGAATAGAAGATTTAGACATGTGGACCTCTAGGAACCAGCACTATGAGTACAGATTTTTGTGTCTTATATCAATACACTAGTGTGCTCACTACAAATGCTGGTCAACCAACTGGACAGAATGATTCAACCAATACGTGTAAACCAGCTTATGTCACTAGCTATGCTGGTGTTTGCACAATGGGCCCATGAGCAGAATAAATATGGTGGAAGGAGACTATCTGTGAACCCAAATGCTTGAATGTCCTTTCACTAAGCCTGATGAGCATCAGAGACCATCATTGAGTCTTTAATAGTACTTTTAAGGGTACCATATCTTAAAGAGTCCAACCAGTTTTTTGGTAGCAAGTTAATTACTTCAAAACTTATGGAGAAAGCAACCTAGACTAGTCAAAGTGTAGTTTGGGCGTGAGGGTATCCAAGGTATTAGTAGAAGATGAAAATAATGAGCCTTTATTATTGCCTTCAGATGAACTGCAGCAATAGGAACTAACTCTCCTCTTGTGGAATATGAAGCTCAGAATACAAGGAGTCCTAACTGCCAGAACAAGAAATTGGTATTTTATTTCTGGATGAATTAAAAGAAACAGCAGATGATAAGATAATCAGATGTGCAATTTGATATGCTATAGATTTTTCAACCCCTATGCTATAGATTGAATGCTTATGTCCCCACCAAATTCATGTGTGAAGCCCAAATCCCCAATGTATTTTGTATTAATAATCCCTAAATCCCCAATGCATTTGTATTAACAATTTTCACCCCCCAAAAAAGTATTCCAAAAGATACATACCCACACACAAACAAAAATACATATACACACACACAAATGTATGATCGAATGTCAGAGACTAAAATTGAATGAGTTTATAAGGTAACCTTTCCTGATTAATTGCAATAATAAAATTTTTTTCTATGTCCATTTCCCCAGAGGATAATAAAATATACAAATTTTGGAGCTTCTGGCTAAAGTAATATTATGAAAGTAATGTTAACATATTTTGAATGCTTACTATAATCTAGACTCAATGCTAACACATTAATAACATCATTTGTAGTACTACAAACATTTCTTTGAGGTAAATATTATTTCTGTTTTATGAAGAAGAGAACAGATGCTTAGAGAGGTTAAGGTTTGTGTAGGATCAGTTAGGAAGAAGCAAAGTCAGAGATTCAACTCAAGTTCTATTTAACTCTGAAATACATGCTTCTACCAATGGTGCCACATTCATCATCAACCTTTTTCCAAAAGAGGTGGTGAAAAGACACGGCACTTTGATAATTTTACTCTAATTTTTTATGTTGTCTTTTGAAGTGGCAAGACTCAGACTATGAGCTCTGGTACTTTGATTTTAAAAGGGTCACAAATGGAAAGCCTTATTTCTGTTATCCTATCTACAGTGTTTCAGGTAATTGCCAATAATCCAAATTGAGGTTCTTGGCTGCTGCAGCTTATACTAATGATTAAATGAAGTATAACAAACACAAATTTAGCAGTCTATAGTGTTTGAGGGATAATGAAATATATTATATGACTTCTAAAGCAAAGGATCTACAATACAGTATTGCAAACCAAAATGTTAATTTATTTTTAAGAAGAGGTTTAGGCTTAGAAGTAGGAAAATGTTTCAGTGAACCATGGGAGAGTTCATTTATAATAAGAGAACTGTCAAGTTTATAGTTAGGCTGCCTACATAATGTAAATCAAGAGTTGAGAAGCATTTTATTTTAAATTGCTTTTTAAGATTGTTGAACCTCTGTTGGTTTATACACAAGATTTATGCTGACATGTTCTTTCCATCTCCATTTTCTGTGAAGGGAATATTAATCTTTGATTACCTCCATAATCATGGGAGAAGGAATAGTTTCTGGGGTGTGCAGCAAATCTTTGATTATTCATCCTACCACAAACACATTTTTACATTTTAAAAGCCTTGCATTTATCTTATGTTAGAACTATGCAGAGCAGAGAGACTTGGACTTTGCAGGATATTCCTAGTGGTCAACCATGTTCAGACAAGCTGTCTTATCTTCTCTCTTCTCTACTTCTGAAATCTAGGACCATCAGGCACAATTCAGGTTATGGACTAAAGCAGATTTCCATAGGTCTAGTCTTTTTCTTATTATCCCTCAAACAACAGACATTCATTGCCCAGTTTTCTTCATTTTGTAAAAATTTACTATTGGCAACTAAGTAAAAAAACATACAACAATAATATATTTGAAATTGATTGATGGGACCTTATATTTTATTATACCATATTCAAAAAGGAACCCATGAAACTTCTTCACCAAGCTATGAACTTTGATGTTCATAACAGAAAGATACTAGCAAACAAATGAAGACACTATTAGGAAAACCATAACAGGAATGCCATATATACACTTTTGTGTGATGGTTGTAACTAAAATTGGTAAATTCTTTAAAGTAATGGAAGAATTTATAAAAATAAATTTTGAAAAATTTTTGGAAGAATAAGAAGTCTTTTATAGAAAAAGAAAAAACAAAAAGCCCCAAGCATTTACATCGCTCCATTTCTAAAGTTTCTAATCTAATCACGAACTTCAGTAACATTTCTCATTTAGTTGTAGAGGGCACAATTAATCAATTAGTTAAATTTTTAAAAATAAAAGTACTAGATTGCTGAAGTGTATTTTACATTTTATTCAAATATAAATGAAAGGAAAACTGTCTGAAAATGATTACATAGCATTATATTTTTAAGTGAAATATTAGAAAACATACTTATTGCCAAATGTTTGAAATGAGGACTCTCAAATTAATTCTTAAATTAGTAGGATATTAAAATTATGAGATTTTTGGGAAAACTAGAAGGAAACAATTTATGGTCATTATATTCAATAAGTGAAATCGGATCTGAAAAGTGAAATCAGGAAGGCTCATTGTCAATTAAATAATCTTAAAGCCTAAGGATCAACCTTTGTCTGGGATTAAATTTCAGACCAAAAATTATAGCAATTCAATCAAACAAAAAAAAGCTATAAAGTTTTCAGATTCTACAGACAAAAAAGCCAACATTAAGATCACAAATGCTTTCTAATGAGTCTGTACTAGAGAGGTGTCAAGCCAGGTAGATAAATCTTACTGGTTAATATTAAATACACTCTCTAAAATACACACACACACGTGTGTGCGCCACAGTGAAGGCAACATTCATTTACCAAAAATCTTTATATTATGGGACTTATGCCTGTGATTATCAGAACATTTTCTTAGTAATTTTGTGAACTGGTGTAAGTCAGAGGTCAGCATCCTTTTTCTGTAATGCTTTGTGGACCATGTGCCTGTGGTTTCTGTCGAATCAGCTGTAGACAATGCATGAACAAGCAAAGTGTAGCTGTGGCAATAAAGCCTTTATTTTTAGACACTGAAATTTGAATTTTGTATAATTCTCATGTTTTATGAAATTTTTTTTCTTCTTTTGACTTTTTTCCACTTTTAAAAAATATAAAAATTATTCTTAGTTTGATAGCCATACAAAAGCTGGAGCTGGACTAGATTTGACATACAGGGAAAGTTTGTAGACCACTACACTATACCACCTTTCTTATCAGAGCTGTGTGTGTGTGTGTGTGTGTGCATGTGCACACATGCATGTATGACCTCTGTAATGCACTATATTGCTATGGTTGCTATTGTCCCGTTTTCACTGTCCATTGATTTGAGACTCTTCATGTGGATGACCAAGATTTAGTTATTTGGCATCAATAAGAAGAGAAATAGGAGTTTACTCTACGAGCCCATGAATCGTTCATTCCTTACTCCAATATTGTCTTTTCTCTCACACAAAAACCTTTTACCAAGACCTCACTTGAGAAACAAATATATACTGCTTACCTGGAAGAGTTAGAGCAAAGTGCCTTTTAGCATTATTCTTCAGTGTTACAGTTGTCACAGAATATTTCACTTGTCGTTTTTTCTGATGTTGCCTCTGACGTCTAGCATAGAATGAGAGGTTTCTACACTCTATGTAGAATGACCCAGGAGACATATCAGGGACTTAGAACTGATTGAGTTGACTTAGTATCTGGTTATCTAGATTCACATAAATAGGAAATTTTTAAGTGCATAAAAGCATCGTTTAATACTTTAACTTAAAATGCCATTGTTAAATTGTGTGTTTTTTATTAAGTGGGTTTATTAAAAACAAGGCTCAGAAATGCTCTTTGCTTTCTTACATTTATTATTGCCTCCTCCTGAATTGTGACAGTGGTCCCTCTAGGAATATGTGGTCAAATTATCAAGTTTTAACATAGAATGAAAATCTGGTCCATAACGGGTACACACATGCTTTGTGGTGCATGGAAAATCTAGTACTAATTAGAGCTCATTTTTCAACTCCTAAGATTCCTAGAAAGTAAAGTAACAATGATACAAATAATGTCATTTAACATAAAAATAATGTTTTATTTGGATTGTGATTGTCTCAGTATACCTTAAAAAGATTAAAATGTTATATGTTTATGGGGAATATGAGAGAGAAGGAGGCTATAACTATGAAAAATAATTTTAAAATGTGCATTCCTATGGGACAAAAGCTAATGAGATTTCCTGTGATAGAATGTATTATTGCTAACAAAAAAGTTTGCTATCCTTCCCCGGGAATATTATACATTCCATTTCCATTTATGTCAGGCTAGGCCACACAACTTATTTTGCCCAATGAAAGATTAGAATCTGAGAAGACATAAGAACCAATGCATGGTTAACCAATTTTTTTTTTCCTTTCCCTGTTAAGATGATAAGCAATAGTAGCCAGGATCCTGGAGTGAAATGACATGGATCAGAACTGTTTCTGATTGACAGATAGTGGTAAGACAATTGACAGGTCATGTGGGTAAGAAATGAACTTACTTTTGTTGTAAGCCAATACAATTTGAAGGTTGCAACTGCAGCCTAACCTACCCTTTACTTACTGACAGACTTTCTACAAGGTGCAACAGGTTTCATCCCTGTTTTTTAAAGCTGCAACTAGATGACTCGATGTTCTGAATACTACATAAGGGTTTTCTGAAGGGTTCCCTTGGTTAAACAGCTAATAGTATCCCCACTCTACAAGGGTACAACCAATAGTTTCTTCAGTCGGGGCTAGGAAATCTTGGATACAACAAATAATTATGGTCTATCCTGTCCATGTAACAATGTATGCACTTAATGATGACAATTATGACAATTAATAAAGAAAACACACACTAGAGAATGAAAAGTACATATAGCTAAATATCAAGGTATCTAAAACATAATCATATTAACTAGAATATGATGTAGGGATGTTCAGAGATTCATTTTTGATCTCCCTCACTAAACAGTTTATCATGTTTTTGGTTTGGTTAGTTTTTGTTTGTTATTACAGCTTGGGTTTCTCCCAGTCTTTCATTGTTTGGGTTCTTTAGATATTCTTCATGATGTTGTATACTATTTTTTTCTATAAGTTTTCTATTCCAATATATAACTTTTTCTTTCTTTGCAGGAAATTCTGCATCTTTCTATTTAGAATTGCTCAAAGTGAACTTTAAATTTAATGATTATCATCTATATTGAAGGTTGTTTTCTTTCCAAATGGTCTTAAAATTACCAGATGCTAGTTCTTGTCACTAAGAAATAGCTTCTCTTGTCATGAAGTGAAGCTGTGCTTAATAATAAAAGTGATGATGATAACAATGATGATAATGACTGCCATTTATTTTGACCCACCAAGTCTCAGGAAGTAGAAAATATTTGGTATTAGATAAAAATTATCTCATTTAGGCCTCACAAAAGCCATACAAAATAGTTGCTATTTTCACTTTAAATTTAAGTAAACTGACAAGAAAATTTGCTTGCATAGTGTCCCAAAACAAGTTTCAAAGTCCCTTGCTCTTTTCCTAAGATACATTATCTTCTTATACTATTCTGTGCATCTGTCAGTCATCTGTCTCTCTATTGCATCCTGTGCTCTAGCAATGGGAAGTCTCTAATAAGAACACTTCTTTAAAGCAAAATGCAATTATTGTTTAGCATCTGAGTGGAAAAACATTACTTCTATTGGGTAGTAATATGCTCACCATGGCATTTTTTAGATAAGACCATTAAACACCCTCTTGACTATATCAACCTTAATTTTATTATGTATAATACAAGAGGAACCATACTCATCAGCAGGCTTAGAGAAGTGATGAAGGAGGAGAAATAAAGCCAGCCAGGGTTAAGGTCTGACTTCTAGGGAGAGGTAGCAACTCATCTCTGTTTTACTCAGTTGTTTTTAATAGGATTATCTCCGAGGAGTTGGGTAGGGAATCTCTAAGCAAAGTGAAATGAGTAATAGAGCAATGCTTCTAACACAATTAAAGCTGAAGGAAATCCCAAGCTATTGGGTAGTGTTATGTAGATCAGGGTTTAATTTAAGAAAGGGGCAAAAATATATGCCAGAATAGATGAGGTTCCAACAAAAAAAACAGAGCAGAGCCCCAAGGACAACAGGGTAAATCAAACATCACTTCGTAAACTAAACATAAGGTTATTGGTGACAAATAAATCTCAGTAGACATGTGAAAGCCAAATGACCCACACTCTGTGCACCCACTAACAGGATTAGAACTGTTAAACTACAGGTCATGAATCACTCCTGAAATCACTGATTGGCAGAGATTCAAGGTTTATGGTGGGATGCAATGATAGGATGAAGATTTTGATTAGAAATCCCAGATCTGCCTTTCATGCACTGTGTGATTGATCATGGGCAAGTTACTTTACTCTAGGCCTCAATTTTCTCAATTGCAAAATGGTGATAATATTAGAACACACCTCATCAATTTTTTCTTTTTATTATTGCATAATAAATTGTTTGCTATTGAGTAAAGAAAACAATACCAATGGATGAGCAATTGGTTCAACTTACCTGCAGTAACCCTTTAAACACTAAGAAGCTCTGTAGAAGTTAAATTACTAGAAGCCATTTCCTAAAACTACAGTGAGCTCAGAGGAGTCATCGGAATTCTTTTTCAAACCCTCTGTTCCCCCCAATCACTTCTACAGTTAAGTCCAATATTACCTTCTGTCAATTGGATATATTTACATGTATAATGTGCCTTGAGTGATCTTGCTCTCATATTTGCATCTCCTTTCACTGGTCAAATATTGTTCATAGGAGCACATGCTCATATGTACCAAAGTTCAGAATCTCTATTTCTTCCACTTCCCAGGTCTAATTCATTTCCAAGTCTTACCAATTCTACCTGTATACTATTCCTCATATCTTTTCTCTTTTGTTCATTTGACACCCTAATTACCATTTGGATAGTCTATTATAAGGTATTATTTGTTTGACTTCTTTTTCTCTAAATTATTTCCCTATGATCCATTCTCTCTACCATCTTAATCTCATAAAAGCACATGTAATCAACCATTTCCCTTACCTAAACATGTCAATGGCCCTTCATTTCTTATTGAATAAAGTATGTATGTTACTCTGGCATTCATGGTCTTTCTAAATTAGCCTCAATACATGGTTTACTCTAATCTTACTCTTATTACTGTCTTTCCTGCATTTTCTTTCTGGGCTACCTATTCTATACATTTTCAACACAGTGTCTCATGATTTTTTACCTTTGACTTTACTCATGCTGTTTTTTTTCTCTCACCAAATGTGAAATATTCATAAACCTTATTTGTTCTTAAAATCCAATTGAAATGCTTTTATTGCTATATTTCTTAATGACCCTCATTGCTTTTACTTTGAATTCTAGCCAAGTATGTTGTATGGATTGAATTATGTTCCCCATTTATTCCCCCAAATCATGTGTTGAAGTCCTAGCCCCCAATGTGACTGTATCAGGAGATAGGGTCTTTAAGAGGTAATTTAGATTACATGGGTTATTATCTGATAAAACTGTGGCCCTGTAAGAAGGGAAAGATCTCTCTCTCTGTTATGTGAGAACATGGTAAGAAGGCAGCTGTCTACAAGCTAGATAAAAAGCCCTCACCAGAATCCAACTGGAATCATGAACTTGGATTTTCTAGCCTCTCACACTGTGAGAAAATGAATTTTGTTGTTTAAACCACTCAGTGTATGGTATTTTGTTATGGCAGCCCAAGCAGACTCATACACATGTCCATGGCCTATTAACTTAAACTCCAAGCTCCTTAATGAGAATTCTTGCACCTTAATAACCTTTGTGTTTTTCAATTTGCATATCATAATTTATTGTACAAAATTTGTGTTTATTAATGTTGAATTAATAAATAAATGAAAAAAGAAATATATAGATTCAGGACATGGAAAGTGAAATGATAATACTGCTTACTGAAACAAATGGGTAATTATGGGGAGAAATATTTCAAGGACGATTTTTCAGGCCACGGCTGCATATTGTTTTATTTACTGGCTTGAGTATTTTCTTTATCACATAAACTATTCTCTACTTTTAGGAATAGTTTTAAATAATTACGTAAAAGCACACATTGTTTTGGTTTTTATCAGATAGAAATCCCTTCCTTTCCTGACACCCACACACTGAGGATGAAAACTTTTATAAAACTGAAGATCAAAACTTGAATAATTTCAGAGGAAATTCAAAACTTTTCAGGAAAAAAAGTGCAGCTAAATTTTTGCCAAGTATTTATCAGTATTTGTGATCTGGATAGTTGGAGTGTTTTTGTTTAGAAAACACTGAAGATGTTATGAATTTAGGAATGAGTAGGAAGGAAGTGTATTGAATTAGCATATGCATGCTAACATCTGCTGGAGTACAGAGGATGCTCAAAATATCACACCCTTACAAGAGTAAAGGAAAAAAAAGGAAATGAAAAGAAAATGGAGATGTAGGAAAAGGAGAAATGCAAGCCTTGAATTATCTATAGCTTTCTTGTAGCAAAGTTCTGCGTTTTTCTCAGTTGTTCTCTAGAGAGCTAACCTTGCTTCTTGAATTCAACAAATCACAAATAACAATAATTGAAATACTATAATTTGTTATTATTTACTTTGTCTTCATGATATAGTCAACTTAAACCCAA